TAATGTCGCCAAGAGAGGACTTAGACAACCAAAATGTTTGAGAACGATTGGCTTGTGAGGTCCACAAGACGGCTCGCAGGGCCTCAAGGGGGTCCCTAATTGGTCCCGAGACGGCCAATGTCTTCGAGAGGCACCTTGGACGTCCTTCTATGCCTCCAGGACGGACCGAGAGAACCCCAAGAGGACCCCCAGACTACCCCAGATCGCCCAGCAGGCACCGTGGGGCTAGAAGAGAGCCCGTAGCTGCTTCGGCTCAAGCCGTTCAGGTTTGAGCAGTTTGGGCTCGAGCCTTGGCCCAAGGCTCGCTTCGCTCCGCTTCGCGCTGTGCCACCACCATCGTGTCGCAGTCCCGCCATGCGCTCGATGCTGCTGGCCGGTGGGCTCGGCCTGGCAGGCGCACAGGGCCCGGGCCACGGCGTCGCGAAGACCACCTACGCGGCGCAGATGGACCCGCTGGGCGCCATGGCCTTCGTCCAGAAGTATTTCGGGACCACCACGTCGGCGGACTCGTGCGACGCGGACGTCTGCCAATGCAAGGCGGGCGAGTCGGGGGCGTCGTCGCGCTGGTTCGCCTACCAGGGAAGGTCGCAGCTGGCGAAGGCGGAGATGGCTGGACACTACCCAGGCAAGTGCGTCCTCCGGACGAGGTCCACGGGGCCAGTCCTGACTGGAGGCAGCACAGTCGCTGTCGTCCCGAGCTCCTCCCTCGGGGAGCCTTGCGCCCGGGCGCCAGGCTCCGAGATGGCGGCGGCCGGCGGGGACGAGGGCTACGTGGTGAATTCCCACAGGGAGGACCAGTGTTGCAAGGCGTGTGCCGCCCTCAAGACGTGCGTGGGGGCAACGTTCATCGTGCCCAACTACACTGCATCGGTCAACTACACTCGCCCTGACCACGAGGGTCTGGGCCCGCAGTACTACGAGGGCTTTGGGCTCCACCTCGCGGGCGTCACGGCGCACGAGACGACAGGAGGGTTCATGGTAGAGGAGGTCGAGGCGGCTTTCATTGACAAGATGGGGAGCATGACGGCCTTCGATCATTTTATGGATTTCAACGTTGGCCTCTTCACTGTCAACATGGACTTCTACATTGAGAGGTTTGTGGCCGATGGTGTGCCTCACCTGGGAGCGACATGGACCACCTCATCTGGAGATACGATGTACAGCGTGTTCGTCCACGTCCCCAGATCTCAGATGGTTGTCGAGCTGATTGCGGCGTCCTCGCAGATCCTCGCTGCAGAACCGAAGCTCGTGCCCCTCGAGCAGCGCTTGTCAGAGCCTGTCATTCGAATGACCATGCAAAGCCTGCCAACTGGCAATGTTCTGAAGGCGGTCAAAGTCAGTAGGGCTGCCACAGACCTGGATGCACTTGACGAGTTTTACGTGACTGGGATGCGCGCAGAGAAAGTTCTTTCAGCCGATGGTGACGGTGTGAGTTCCCGTTGTTATCTTTGGACCCACGCGGAGACAGACCTGTGTTTTATCAAGCGGCTTGACAATGCCACATCAGGACGTTTCAAAGTGAGAGACTTCGAATTGATGCTCAACCGCGTCGCCGACACCATGCTGACAAACCCGTACTGCAACATGAACAGATGGCTTGACAACCACTACGCTTACGATGATTTCAGCCCCGATGATTTTAGCTATATCTCATCCTATCCAGCTGCCTGTGACAAGTCCCGCCACCGTGCCGCCGGCCCAGCAGTCTGGGTGTGAGCCGTGATGAGGATAATGAGAATGATGGAGATTATAGGGATGATGGGGATAGTGGTGATCTTGATGATGCTGTTGTTGTTGATAATGCTGATGACGATGATGATGACGATGCTGCTGCTGATGATGATGGTGGTGATGGTGATGATGATGCTGATGGTGGAGATGGTGGTGGTGATGATGATGGCAAAGATGCTGATAATGGTGATGGTGGTGATGGTGATGATGCTGATGCTGCTGATGATGATGATGATGATGATGATGATGATGATGATGATGTCGATGATGGTGATGATGCAACTGGCAGTGCTGATGATGCTGATGATGCTGAGTGTGGTGATGGTGGTGGTGGTGATTGTGATGATGATGATGCTGATGGTGGTGATGCTGATGCTCATGGTGATGGTGCCCGTGGTGCCGATGATGATGATGCCTCTGCTGCTGCCGCTGCTGCTGCTGTTGTTGATGCTGCTGCTGCTGATGATGATGATGATGGTGGTGATGAGAATGATGATTATGCTGATGATGATTACGATGAGGATGGTGGTGATGATGATGATGTTGATGCTGCTGCTGCTGCTGCTGATGATGATGATGGTGATGATGATGATGATGGTGATGGTTGTGATGATGCTGGTGGTGATGATGATGCTGATGATGCTGATGCTGATGAGTGGATATATGGTGGTGATGATGATGATGGTGATGATGGTGCCGATGATGATGATGATGGTGATGATGATGATGATGATGATGATGATGATGCCTCTTGCTGCTGCCGCTGCTGCTGCTGATGATGATGTTGACGGTAATGATGATGGTGATGATGATGATGGTGGTGGTGGTGATGCTGATGATGATGATGGTGCCAGTGGTACCGACGATGATGATGATGATGATGATGATGATGATGATGATGATGATGATGATGATGATGATGATGATGCCGCTGCTGCTGCTGCTGTTGATGGGGATAGTGATGATGCTTACGATGATGATGATAATGAGGGTGATGACGGGGAAGAGGAGGAGGAGGAGGAGGAGGAGGAGGAGGAGGAGGAGGATGAGGAGGAGGAGGATGACGATGACGATGACGATGACGACTAGGAGGCGCATGAGGAGGAGGAGGAGGACGAGACGGAGCAGCAGCAGCAGCAGGATTAACAGGAGGAAGAGGAGGACGAGGAAGGCCGTCTTCTCTATTTGAGGAACTCTCATGGAGCTCGTTGTGGCAGTCGTGGGGCTGTCTTGACCTCCTGTGGGGCAGTCTTTGGGGTCCCTTGGGGTCCTCCTGGGCCGTCTGGGGGCCGTCTTGCGCCGTCTGGGGGCTCTCGTGGGCCGCCTCGGGGCCCTCCCGGCCGTACGCTGGGTGCTTGGAGGCAGTCGTGGGTCGTCTTGGCGCCGTCTTGGGCAGTCGCAGAGCCCTTGAAGGCCGGTTTGGGTCCCACGGGAGGCCTTTGTGAATGCCTCTTGCGCCAGCGAGGGGCCATCTTGGGCTATCTTGGGACCCCCCTTGGAGGCCTCTTGGGCCGTCTTTGGGTCATCGTGGATTCTTCGGCCGCCTTGAGCCGACGGAAACCCGAGAAGGAGATAATGTGAAAATCAGGTTAACACCTAAGGGGGATCATTGTTCTTGGCTTCTTCGAACCTTGTTGGAGGTCCTATTGTGGCCCTTGTGGGCCTTCTTGGAGGCATCTTGGGCCGTCTTGAGTTCATACTCGGCCGCCTCGGGGCCATCTTGGCTCGTCTTCAAGGCGTCTTGGGCTATCTTGGTGTCCGGTGTTGTCTGCGTGGGCCGTCTTCAACGATGGATCGGGGCCCTGGGAGCGCGGATACATGGTTTCTTTTACGAGGGGTCGTGGCATCGGGAAGGGGGTCGGCGGCATGCATGCGGGAGTCCGCTAGCAGAGGGAGCGTCCTTGCTAGAGTGCAGAAACCCTACCAGACAGCACTTGGCATCCTGCCGCACCTCAACTTGCCAGGGGGCACAGTGGTGGATCTCGACAACAACCCCTCCGTGAGGTTCAAATGTGGCGGTGCTGGTGGTCTTCACTACATCGTCGACCCCACGGGCTGGGGCGTCCAGCTCGACGTTCGGCTCTGCCAGCAGCCGTCAGCGTGCAGCGCGAGAGGCCCACCGCCTGCCACTGTCCGGGATGACTTCTGCAGCGGCGGCGTCTGCAGCGCAGGCCCCTCCCCTATCCCCCACAGCTTGTTCAAGAGCGATCTGGCCCCGGTGTACCTGTGAAGAGCAGCTCTCGGGGCTCCACAGACAGGGGTCCATGCAAACGATGGTCAGCCAGAGCGCCAGATCTTGCAGGATCCTGCAGATCCAGGGGTGCATTGACCCGGGTTTGCTTGCAGGATCTTGCAGGATCCTGCAAACCCTGAATGACACGCGTCTGCACTGCCCCGTGCCAGTAGATCCCCGAACTCTGCGAGGGCCGCGGCATTGTCGGCGTCAGCAGCGACTGGCGCGCGGCATGCGCCAGGGGCATGTGCTCTGCGCGCTGGCGGGCTTCGTCCGAGGAACTGGACGAACCAGCTGCCACAATCGCGCGGCCTTGTCGGCGGCACGGAACGCAAGCGTGCACAAAACGAATTGTGGGCCCACAGTAGCCCCAGGAGAGCACAGAGCCAGCCCCGAAAACATCCCGAGCCCCGAGGAGAAGGAGGGGATGGTTGGTTGGTTGGTTCGTTGACTTATTCACTGACTGGCTGGTCGACTGGCTGGGTGACTGGCTGATCGGCTGGTTGGCTGGCTGGCTGGTTTGTTAGTTAGCTTTCCGTTTAGATGGTGTCCTGCTTGGCTGGCTGAGTAGGAGGCTGGTTTGGCTACTTGACTGGCTGTGCGGCTGGCTGGCTGGCTAGGTGTTGGGCTGGCGATCTGGCTGAGTGGTGGCCAGTTGACTGTTTGTCTGGCCGGTTGGTTGGTTGATTGTTTAACGAATAATTAACAAACAGACCAGGCAGCCCCGGGACGGCCTCAAGATGGCCGCGGCAGCCCAAGATGGTCCCACGATGCCCCCGGACGGCTTGCAGATCTTCTGAGTGGTCCAAGAGGCCCCGATGGTCCCAAGGGGTCCCCAAGAGCCCCCAAGAGGGCCCCCAAAGCCCAATGCGGCACCAGACAGGCCCCAGGATGATCCGAAGGAGGGCCTGGCCGATGGGCCGGCAAATTCGACGGAGGCGGGATCGATCCGCGCACCTTCGTGCAAGCCACTGGGCCGCTCAGAGCGTTACCAGCCTCACGGGGTCCGCCTCCGACCTTGGGCCCCCCCGCAGAGGTCGACAACGGGCAGCTGCGCGCCCGAGCCCGAGGCCTCAAGTTCCGCCTCAGCAAGAGCCTGGAGGACCGCGCAGTGTGCGGCACCGGCCACAGGTGCTGCCCGTGCCTTTGCTGCGGGTGCTTGCTCTGGCTGCCGCCGCCCGCCTGGCTCCCGCAGCCGTGCTCGGAGGAGGTAAAGGGCACCAATACCGCTATACCTTTTCCAGGTCTTCGCCTCTGTGGGCATTCTTGGGCGGCCCTCGTCGCCACGGCTGGATTCGCCTCGAAATCCTTGTCAGAGCGCACCCTGGGAGAGGTCCGGGGAACAGCGGCATCGGTAGATGGTCGTTCCCCCAGCTCCAGCAGCGGTGCTGTGGCTTCGGAGGGGAGCCTCGTGAGAGGGTCCTGCAGGCCAGGTGAGGTAAGGGGAAGGCGACAGAGAGAGGGGGACAGGGGAGGGATTCGAGATGCGTTGTTCCAGTAAGCTTGGACGGATGCGGGCGGAGGGCGGAGGGAGGGGGGGTGCGAGACGAGGGAGGGAGGAGGTGGACTTGACTCCCACGATCAGGCTACAATCGGGTCTTGTTCGAGCGGCAAGAGCCGCCAAAAAAGGCGCCAGCGCCCAGGGACAACGTGGCGTATGCACATTGAGAGCTTACCGCGGCGGGTTTGGGCAGGAGGGGAGGAGACGCAAGGGGAGTGGACCTTCCCCTGAGATCCTAGCGTCGCATTTGTTTCACAACAGGCGTTTTCACCCGTTTTCCGATCGCTGGAACCTTACAGGTCGATCTGTCTCGAGAAATGGCGCAGAATGATGGGGGTTAGGGTCCCGGTCGTGATTATTCGCGATGTTGCAATTTATTTGCAACGTCGGATTTGAGGGTTCCCAGGGCGATATGGGGGAGAAGGCGCAAGGGAAATGGACTCTCCACGTGTAGGATGGACCAGGGTGGGCAGCAGGGCGGACCTGGGCTGGTCCCTCCTGCGCTCTCAGCCCCCCCCCCAAAAAAATTGTGGAGCAGGTGTGCCCGCTGAGAGGTAAGCTCCGGCCAGGACGACTGCGATCCCGCCGCTGCCAGTCAGCTTCGAGCCATCTCCAGTTCGCCCCTCTTGCTACGATCCTCCTCGCCCTGCCCCAGCATTCCGTCGCTCTTGTCTGTCGGCCTTGCATGCTACACGCTCTTGGGTTCGCAACCTCGCGCACGCCCCGCCGCACTCCATGTGCCATGCACAGCGCTGTGTGATAGCGCCCACCATGGCCCGCTCGAGCAAGCGATCAAGTCGTTTGCCGACTCCAAACAGTCTGCAGGGACCTCGAATGATGTTTGCCGCTGAGTACTCTGCAGTGCCCTCCTGACCCTTGATGTCCTGCGCGCTTGGCCCTCTCGACGTCCAGGGGTCGTGCTTATGCTGTTCGTATCGTGTTTGGTTCGCTTCTTCCGCCTCGTGTACGGCATCTTCTTTCTTCTGAGTCTATCTAGTGTACCCCAGCACTCCTGCCTGCCCAGGATGCCGACAGGGAGGCCCCCACCCTCCTGTGGGGAGCCATCGTCGCCGGGACCGACGAGGGGGACGGCTGGTTGAAGGCTCGAGCGGCAGCTGGAGGGACCAGCAGTACCTTCTCCATGTTCAGTTAACTCTTTTTGTAAGGAGGGTTGTTCGGTTCAGCAGACCAGCATCGGAACGACCAGATGCCGCGACATAATATTTCATAGTTTCTCTAACGGCTGCCGCCGCTTAATCTGTCTCGTCGGTAATGTAGGGAGGAGGGGAAAGATCAGCAGACGAAAAGAGGCGGAGCGGAGAGGATTGGGGCGGAAGCGAAGCAGTGGTGCCCCCATCGCGAGCACGGCACACATGCATATCAAACCGTATAGATTCCAAGTGGATGGTGCGAATTCCAGCCCGCCGAGAGGAGAGGATCGCTATCTCCAGCGAGGGAGGGTTTTCCATAAGCATGACGTACATATTCTGCGAACGTTCCTTCTCTCGGGAATCAACTTCTATGCCCAGGGCGTTCATTCCAAACAGCACTCGCCGCACACAGCAAAACCCCTGCACGCGGCACTATCCCCTCAGCACAAGCCCCGAACCGCACAGCCCCGCAGAGCAAAGCCCGCCACCCCCCACAGCCCCCGAAAAGTGCACAACACGCACCGCACAATCTCACACCGCGCAGTCACCACCCTTCACACATCACAGCTCCCACACGCGCACACACACAGACAAAGACAGACACACACAGACACAGACACAGACACACACACACACACACACACACACACACACACACGAACGCGCATAGCGTCGCAGCGCAGCGGCCATACGGCACGACCTCCACACGGCAAGAAACCAAGAGGGCGAAGTTCCGCGCAGCAAGGTCCCCGTGCGGCACAGCGCCGCCATGACACACCCTCGTACAGCACAACCCATTTACAGCACAACCCCCCTAACGCACACACACACACACACACACACATATACACACACTATGCTTTTTGGTGGTCGCGTTCGTGCGCGGCGACGAGGCGAAGCAAGTCGATCGAGCGGCACAGCACGAACGCGCGCAGCCGGGCCCTCAGACGCGAGACCGCGTTGGGTAGCCCGCACATAGCCACCCGGGCAAGGGTGGCGAGTGAGGAAATTGAGGCAGCGTCCGAAGAAGGAGACGGCAGTACCCGACGAACAAAACCGACCAAGTAGGGATGGACGCCCAGATTGACGACCCAATGAGTTGGGCAGTTGGGAGCGTGCCTGCGGTAGTAAAACCATGCAGGGCCAATCCCGCGGAAGTGTCACAGCCGCCACGGGGTGAGAATGACAGGGAGGAAGACTTGCAGCAGCGGGCAGCTGCAGGACGAGGCGAAAAGGCGCAAGGACGCGCTGGGCTAGCGCCCGGGACGGAACGGGGGGCGGTGAGGCCCACTTCTGCGAGCCGGGCTCCTTGGGGCCCCACGCGTCCGCACGCGTGAGGTGGAAGGCGGCTGCAGTCCGCGTGAGAGTACTGTCGGAGCAAAGGGGCCGAACAGCCTTACACCCTCCCTGGGTGCGTGGGTGAAAAGGAGTTCCGTGGCCCAGATCATGTTTGTTTGTTGTTTGAGATTACCGTTGTTGGTTGGTTGTTTTAAATTGCTGTCGTCGTCCTCGCCCGCGACCCTCCCCGCGACCCACCCCGCGACCCACCTCGCTACCCACCCCGCGATCCATCTGCGACCTACCCACGTTGCTTTGACGAAAAAATAAATCGACGCCTGCCTTGGGCTCGTTGTGTAATGTGTTGAAACATAGGCGACTGCGGTGGGCCTCTCCAGAGTCTCGCAGACTATCGGCGACCCCGCCGCCCCCTCACTCTTCCCCGCATTTGCGCGGTGCTACGTGCTCCCACAGGTGTCAAACATTCGAAGGATCCCCCCTTCCCGTTCGACCGAACCTAGAACACTTCGATCGAAATCCGCAGGGGCTAGAAGCTCGCGCGCATAACATATTCTAGAGGAGCCTCTCAGCATGATGAACGAAAGAGGGAGCGACGACGAGCGAACAAGAACCTAGAGAGAGAGAGAGAGAGAGAGCGAGAGAGAGTGTGGAGAAGCAGGGCACAATGCTATGAATGTGGCGCAGCGCTCAGCACAATGAATGACCAGAGGAGGAGGAGGAGGAGGAGGAGGAGGAGGAGGAGGAGGAGGAGGAGGAGGAGGAGGACCGTGCCCCTGATGGTCATCGATCGTCCGCACCGTGTGGGACGTGTACCAAGTCCCTTTCGTCCCGGTTGGAGCTCGTCCTGGAGAGGGCGCCCCCACTGACCAGAAGTGGCCCCGCACGTGCCCCGCCCCCGCTCCCGTTCGGGGCAGCGCTCCCTGAGCAGCGACCCAGCTCCTCCTCCTCCTCCTCCTCCTCCTCCTCCCCTCCTCCTCCTCCTGCTCCTCCTGCTCCTCCTCCTCCTCCTCCTCCTCCTCCTCCTCCTCCTCCTCCTCCTCCTCCTCCTCCTCTAGCCGACCCTGCTCACGACCGCCGCCGTTGAGATCGCGGCGGCGGTGGCAGCATCAAGCGGCAGCAGCCTTCGGGGGCGACGAAGAGAAGGGAGACGACCAGGGGGGCGGGGCGGATCTCATGGCGGGGGCCATGGCACTTCCCAGATCTCATGGCCCCCTCGTCTTCTGTTTCAGGATGTTTCCTGGCCCCCCTTGGGCCGCGCACCTGCGTCGGGCCATGATTTGCGACCCCCCCGCCTCTAGTTCATGGGACAAGTTTTCCCTACTAGTTTCGAGCCTCGGCCGCTACGGAAGCGCAAAAGATGCACGCATGCACACGGGCCATCTTGCAGCAACTCACGCGGGGAATGATCGTAATCATGCGCTGCGCTGGCACTGCAGCGATGCTCCGAACAAGCTATCTCCCTTGGAGGCCCTCCCCCTTTTGGGACGCCCCCGGAGCTCCGGCGCCGCACGCTCAGAGCTGGCGAGGGGCGCGCGGGGGCCCCGCCGCCTCCCCCTCGAGCGAGCAGGTCGGCGACCGCTTCCTGCCCATGCGGGTGCACGGCAAGCCGGTGCTGACCCTCCAGCTGGAGGACTCGGGGCTGCGGTCGACCCCCCCTTGCCCACACAAACACACACACACACACACTCAGAGGAAGGAAAGATGCCCATGCCCCCATCCTCGTCTCGGTTTCCCCTTTTTGGACCTCCTTGGCGGCCCTCGTCCCCACCGCTGGATTTGCCTTGAAATCCTGTTCAGAACGCACCCAGGGAGAGGTCTGGGGAGTAGCGGTATTGGTACCTTTTGGTTTCCCCACACACACACACCAAAGTGCAATGCAGTTGGAGGGGCGTTTCGAGGAGCAGGAGGGGGAGGAGAACATGAGCAGCAGTGGGAGGAGAAGAAGGAGGCGGAGTGATGGCAGGGCACGGGCGTTTCGTCGCAGCTTTTGCTATGAGAGCGCGAGCTTCGTTGCACCCCTGCAAAGCTGGACAATATGTATGGTTACGTATGGAGCAGGCCAGGGTGCCACCACAGCTGCAGAGCAGATGCACAGAGGCCGAGAGCGCAGGAGTTCGCAGTGTGCACTGTGTGCGTGCATGTTGTGGCAGCGGTGGCCTGCCTGTGCGCCACCGCCCGCAGTGCCACTATGCGTGCGATGTGTTGGAATACCATTTCGGAGTACGTAGTCTGCCTCTATTTGTCCTAGTGCTTCATTTCGGTTGCACGGACTTTGCCTGGCGGAGGCGCAGCGTCTACGCATGTTCTTGCTCTTGCTCCTCCTTCTCCTGCTCTCTCCTCCTTCCTCCTGCGTGTCCTCCCTTTCGTCATCCAAACTGGGACAAATCGCACGGACACCGTGCGCAGATAAACCAGTGAGGGAGAGATGACAAGAACACCACAAAAAACATAGGAAAAAACGAGAGAGAGAGAGAGGAACAGAACGAGAGGGAGAGAAGGAGAGACAGAGAGAGACAGAAAGAGAGAGAGAGAGAGAGAATGGGAGATATATATATATATAGAGAGAGAGAGAGATTGAAAGGGTATTCGCTAACGCCTTTCTGTTTGTCAACGAATTCGTTGGCCTTATATCCCGACGCAAAGTCTTGCTCGGAGACGGGACCCAGCCTGGCCTGGTGTACGTATCAATGCGGGCACGGACCTCTGAGATCCCAAACAGAGGCCCTCCAAGGACTCGGGCGGCCCCGGCGGGGGGCCCCGCTGGAGCACCCCGAAGGGAGTCACTCCGGCGAGGCCTCCCCCCGCAGGCCCTCGGAACCCCGAGGGCTCCACCCCACGAGGAGGCTCGCTGTGCAGTGCCCGGTCCCTTCGCTCCGCGGAGGGCCAGGGGCGGCCGCCGCCTCGAGATCCTGCCAGCCGCAAAGCCAGCCCCCCAGGCGAGGGGGGAAGCGTGGGGTCGACGTGGGGGGCCAGGGGGGCGGGGAGATTCTTCCTCCCCCGGGGGCGGGAGGAGGAGGAGGAGGAGGAGGAGGAGGAGGAGGAGGAGGAGGAGGAGGAGGAGGAGGAGGAGGAGGAGGAGGAGGAGCAGGAGGAGGAGGAGGGGGAGGGGGAGGAGGGGGAGGAGGAGAAGGAGGGAGGGCTGGTGAGATCCATCTCCCGCGCCCTCCACATGGCACCGGTGTCAAGACTCCTCGTGCCCACGGCAGGCGCAGGGTCAGTCACAAGAGCTGCGAGCCGCCAGAGTGGCGTGAGAGCACGGCGCTCGTGCGAATTGCCTTCGGGTTTTCGAGGGAACCGCGACGTCAGCCGCGGTGTGCGGGTGCACCTCGCGCATCAGCAGGGGAATGAGCGGTCTTTTCCTCCCCTGGATAATGCTAGCTGCCCAGCCCAAACCCCACCCCCACGTGCCAGGGAGCATTGTGCCCCGGTGGCGCGTACGCACCCTGGCGGGTGCATACCGTTACCCTCCCGCTCGACCCCCCCCCTTTCTTCCCCCCTGGGTAAATACCGTCACCCCGGAATGAAGAAGAAACGATCACAATACCCAGAATGACAGAACGCACGAATCGGAACATTACCAGGATCATCCTCAACGCCAGCGAAAGGGACAGACATGTTTCAAGAGAAAGCGAGCATGGCAACGAACAGAGCTTCCAACCCTGCAGCCAACTGCGCGTGCACAAAGACGAGACAGTAAATGCATGACCCCCCCCCCCACAGCAGCTCCAGCGTCAACAAGTCCAGCGGAGGCAACAGCAGTGACCTGAAGACTTCTCGCTCCGGCGTGCTCGCGGGCCATAGCCTCAGCCCATCGATCCCACCCCTCACTCGTCTTCGGCCGCGCCCGTTTGGGGCGGGTGGACCCCCGCGGACGCAGGCCCGTCGGGCGGCCGGGCAGGCTGCATGGCGCGCGGGCAGGCGGAGGGGCGCGGGAGCGGGCCCTGCCCGGTGCGCGGGCGGGGGCGGGCGGACCCCGACAGGGACAGGGGGGGCACGGGCGGGGCCGCGGGCGGGCGAGCTGTCTCGTGCAGAGGCGCGGGCAAGGCTGCAGAGGGCGGGGGGGCGGGCCCCCCCCTGGCGGGCGGGCGCACCCCACCGGGCGGGTCAGGCGGGGAGCCCGGCTGCGGAGAGGAGCACGGAGAGAGCTCCAGCGAGGGCGCGATGTTCCCGAGCGGCGGCACCGCAGCTCCTGAGCGGAGTCGCAGGGGGGGGGGCGTCCCAAGCGAGAGCCCGACGACGAGGAGGAAGTCCCAAGCGAGAGCACAGTTCCTGAGCGGCGGGAGCGCGGTTCCTGCCGAGGCGGCGAGGGGCTATCTGGCGAAAGCGCGATTCGCGAGTAAATAGCAAGGACGTCTGCAGCGTCAACGCGATTCCCGCATACGGGAGGTTCATGCCATGTCGCGTCGACGCGGCGGCGACGCCACCGTGGGCGTTCAAGGATGAGCGCCGCCAGTGGCCCAGAATCGGCCAATACGGAACGATTTGGCAGCCAATATGAAACAATCTGGCGGGCGAAGAGCCGCCGAAGATTCAAGGTTGAACGATCCACGCGGTGTCAGAAACCAACGTACATTGTGAGGGAGCTTCAGGCGGGAACCTTTGGAGTTTCATTCCTGCAAGGCTAGTTATTGTTGCTCCCCCCTGCCCAGTGCCCGTTTTGTAGTTTTGTCAATTGAAGTGCCCCTCCCCCGGGGCTCGCATCCAGTGTCTTATTGGGAGAAGTCTTGGGGCTCAAAGTGGGGGGCCCCAGCTTAGAACAACACCGCTCCCACCGGATATGTTTTCACAATTCTTCACGCTTCGCACATCCCCACCAGCTCATACAGAAACCTTGCCCATGAGAGTTCACGGGAAAAGGGACGAAGATATTCATGTAGTGAAACAAAGCGGGCAACCAGGATGAAAAGAGAGATCTCTGGAAGCAAGGGGGTGGTCTTGGAGCGCCTTTTCGGGACATCTTTGGGGCCCGCGTGGGGGCGAGGGAAGGAGGAGGAGGAGGAGAAGGAGGAGGAGGAGGAGGAGGAGGAGGAGGAGAAAAAAGAGGAAGAGGAGACGGAGGAAGACGACGACGACGACAAAGGCGACGACGACGACCACGACGACGAGGAAGGGGAGAAAAAGGAAAGGAAGACTACGAGGGCAAGGACGAGAACGAAGAGGACGAGAAGGACAACGAAGACGAGGACAGATCCCTGAAAATCGCCTCTTGCAGTCCTCTTGGGACTCTTTTGGGGATCTGCGGGTCCTCTTGGAGAACTTTGTTGGGGGGTTGTTGGGGCTCACTTGAAGCCCTCTTGAGTGCCCCCTGGGAGCCAGGAGGAGGCGGGATCCCAATTTTCCCCCCCCCCTCTGGGACCATACAAGTCTCCTCTTGGGGTGCTCTTGGGACGCTCGTGGGCCGATCTTGGGCGCTCGTGGGGCCGTTTGGGGGGCCTCATGGGACCGCTCTTGCGGCCATCCTGAGGCCTCAAAAGCGCATCGAAGGCGAAAGGGCGAGAAGGCAAACATCAGTGATTGTCCTTAGGTTGTCGAAGGATGTTGGCCTCACTGGGGGGGCCCTGAGGGGGCTGCACTGGGGACCCTATTGTGGCCCTGGCCCTCGGCGGGCCTTTGGGAGGCATGGCGGAAGCTATCTTGACGTATCTTCGGATGCCTTGAGCCGCCTTGGAGGTCATCTTGGAGCATCGAAGGCCCTCTTGGAGCCATCTTGGGCCATCTTGGACGCTTTGACCGATCGCGGCCCGCCCCAAAAACAAACTCGGAGGGGAGGGGGAGGGTACCCCTACCCGAAGGGAAGAGAATGTTTGGAAGCGGAAAGGAAGAAGTCGTTGGACCACTTTTGCCCAAAGGCTTGGTGGGATTTCTTCAAGGGGCCGCACGCAGAAATCACGCTCTCGCCGAGGACTTCTGCACAATTTACTGAGGCGCTGTGCTCCCGAAGTCCAGGAGTCGCGCTCTCGTACGAGACATCCTCACAATTTGCTCTGGATTCGTGCTCTCGTCTGAGGCTAATTCACAATTTACAACATTTGTTTCAATGCTCCCGCCCGCCCAATGGGGCCCGCCAGCCAGACCCGCTCGTCAGGGTCCGCTTGTTCGTTTCAAGCCCGCCCGCCCGACCCGCCCGGTAGAGTCCGCCCGCCCAAACCTCCCGTTAGGGCCCGCTTTCCCGACCCGTCCGTTAGGGTCTTCCGCCCGACCTGCGACGTCAGGGCATGGCTTTTCCCGCGCTTGCAAGCCCGCCGACGATGATGCCCCGCCCGCCCGACACGCCTGTCGGGGTCCGCCCGCCCGACCCGTCCCGCTAGAGTCAGCCCGCCCTTCAGGGTCCGCTTGCCAAAACCATTGCTCCTCTCTCCTCCCCTTTCCGCTAGGTCCCCTTCGCCCTCAATCCTCCCCTCTCATGCCACCCTCCGTTATCATGTCCTCCTTCTTTCCTCGCTCTCTCCCTTTTCCCGTTCCCTTTCCCCCTCCTCCTATTCAACAGGCCCTGCCAACTACACGTGGCAGGAAGGCTTACCCCCAATGGAACCCAATGCGGGCACGATCGAAGCCGAAGAGGGCGGGCATCGATGGGCTAGGGGCATACACGTTGAGCGACACGCGAGCAACGAAGGGCGAACCGCATTGAAATGACTGCTGATGCAGCGCTGGGGTCGACCATCCCGCTTGCAGCATTCGGCCAGAGGCTCCCCTGGCACAAACCAGGACGTGACAGCCGACGCAGGCGTTTCAAATTGAGGAGCACCCAAAGGAACAGGAGGATCAACACACATTATGCGTCAGAAGTGAGAGTCCGACGGTTCCGACGATGGTGAGGTGGAGCCGTGGTCTCAGTTTTTCCCACGCGCCAATACAAAGGCCTTGCTCATGCAAAACGCCCCCAGATCAGTGGTCGCTGAGCGGGCCTCAGCTTCTTCAGGTCACGAGGAGGTGCAACTGATACAGTCGAAAAAACAAATCAATCTACCGAACGATTCCCGCGCCGCAGGGGAACCACAGTACACAGGAACCCCAAGGAAACCCCAATACGCAGCACGAGGTCATCCTGACGGAAGCAAGGAGGGAAACGATGCGGTCACGACATTACCAAGTCTCTGGAATTCCAGGTATGCCAGGAGGCAACACAAGATTACGGAACGAGGTTGGTTACAAGTGGTGGTTTGCATTCGCTGTCCGTAGTCACGATTGGCGCACCTTGGGCATCTGTTCATCCAACGCGCTCTGGTTGCACAGCGGACTCATACAAGTAACGTCCCAGTACTATGATTGCCGAAACGCCGACACCGCTCTGTGAGGCCCCTTACTGACCAGCGTCAGTTCCCATGAACCCGGCATTTTGGCGGACTTACGCTCTCTCTCTCTCTCTCGCTCTCTCTCTCTCTCTCTGTTTCTGACTCTCTCGCTCTCTCTCTCTCTCTCTCTATCTCTCTTTCTCTCTCTCTCTCTCACTCTCTTTCTCGCCCTTTATTTCTCGTGTTTTCGGTTTCCTTCTCTCTTTCACTCCCTCCTCGTCCTCCAAATTTGCATCCCGCTTCTTCATGGACCGCGATCGATTACCACCACCATCATCATCATCATCATCATCATCATCATCATCATCAGCGTCAGCGTCAGCATGAGCATCTGCATCATCATCATCATCATCATCACCACCACCATCGCCATCACCATGACCATCACCATCGTCATCATCATGACCATCATCATCCTCAGTATGATGACCATCACCACCACCATCACCATCATCACCATCATCATCATCATCAGCATCAGCAGCATAAGCATCAGCATCAGCATCATCATCATCATCAGCATCAGCATCATTGCCCTTGCCCTTGTCGCGGAGGAGCCCGGAGCTGAATCCAGGCACAGGCCAGCTCCCGCGGCGCCGCGCCTGCGCGTTTGCTGTGACCGCTGTCGGATGTCTCCTTTGGATCTTCCCGGGCTTGCCCTCTGCACACACATGGCGAAATGTATCGAATGGCCTTCGGCCCATCTCGCCACCCTGCCTGGGTTGTGGGGATGAAGCCTGTTGGATGTTCTTGTGATCTCGTGGGAGGCTTCTCGGAGGCCTCGTGGACGACTCAGTGATCAGAGGGGTAGTTGAAGGACCTGAGGACACGCCCATTCTGTGCCCAGCGGCACGGTGCCGGATATTTCAGAACGAAGGGATATGGAAAACCAGCTCGTGACCGCGGCATAAGATCATGTCAATGTTTTTCCGAAGGTTACGGCTCTTCTCGTCCCGCCCAAATGGGCTCGGCTCTACTCGCAGTAGAGCCAGATGGACGCTCGCTCGCTGTCTTCCCCACTGCAGCCGCCGCCTCCTCCCGAGATTGCCACCGTGTTGAAAGAAACACAGCGACAGTGTTCGGTTCCGAAGAGGCGAGGTCGAAGGATCGCGTCCTATCGGCGATGTGGCGCGATCCTCCGACCCAACCTACTCGAACCCCCATTTAGGTGGCCTCTAAGTCTTATCCTGCTGTTGAGGGCTCCAGAGGCCCGTTTCGGATTCCCGGGCCATCAAGCAGTTACCCGTGGCGAGAATCGGGTCCAGGTTTGAGAATTCTGCGGCTACGCCGCGTCACGAGACAGTCGCGACGACGCGCGCCCTTTGGAGCATTTGCGCGACCGCTGCCTACCCACCGCCCCCACTTTCTCATCCACTGACTCTTCATCCTGCTCCTGCTCTTCCCGTAGCCACCTTGGCCAGCAGGGATAAAACAGGGCGCACAGATACCGGGTGGTACACGCGGTGGTTAGCCGAGTGTCGCAGTCGCAGGCCATGGCGTTCACCAAGGAAGAGGACATTCAAATGATGTTGGTCTGCAAGACCCATTTGGGCACCCGGAATTGCGACTACCGCATGAAGCGCTACGTCTTCCGTCGCACGGTGGACGGCATCCACATCATCCACCTCGGGAAAACTTGGGAAAAGTTGATGGTCGCGGCCCGCGTCATCGTCGCGATCGAGAACCCCCTGGACATCATCGTCGCGTCCCAGCGTCCCTACGGCTCCCGCGCAGTGCTCAAATTCAGCCAGTACACGGGCGCCATGCCGCTGGCAGGCCGCTGGATGCCTGGCACGCTGACCAACCAGATTACCCAAAAGTACCTCGAACCGCGGCTGCTGATCGTGACCGACCCGCGCACAGACTCGCAGGCTGTGAAAGAGGCCGCCTACGCGAGCATCCCAGTCCTCGCCCTCTGCGACACCGACTCCCGCCTGGAGAACGTGGACATCTCCATCCCCGCGAACAACAAGGGCAAGGAGTCCATCGCGCTATTGTACTGGCTGCTTGCCCGCGAGGTGCAGTACCTGCGCGGCACCATCCAGCGCACGCAGCAGTGGGACGTGATGGTCGACTCCTTCTTCTGGCGAGACCCCGAGGAGCTCGAGCGGCAGGAGGAGGAGAACCAGTTCCCCGCCCAGGAGTACGTCGCGCCGAAGGTAGGAGGGCACCAACTGTACACCTGCACCGATCCTGGCTGAGCCGATCCTGGGCCCAGGGTCGATATGCCTTGCTACCTGAGCCAGGTCGGCGTATGCACCGATCCTGGGCCCAGGATGAGCCTGGTCAGGAACGGTGTGAGCGTCGTCATTGTCGACGTCCTCGTCGTCGTCGTCGTCGTCGTTCCCCCCCCCATCCCATGAGCGGGGGCCGTGGGGCCCTGGGACCCGTCCCATCCGAGGGGAGGGGGCCGTGGGCACAGCCTGGCCAGGATCGATGCGAGCACACAGCCTGCGCCCTCCTGCAAGGCCCCCGCGGCCGACGACTGGAACGCCCAGGCCACTGGCGGGAACTGGGACGACATGACCACCGGCGCCGCGGCCGGCAACGACGACTGGAGCGCGCCCGCCGACCCGGCCGCCGCGGGCGGGCAGCAGTGGTGAGCGGCCCGGCGGACAGACGGCCTTGATTTGCCCTGACGTTGGTTCCACCATCGTCGTCAGATCATCATCCTCATCACCATCCTCATCACCATCACCATCACCATCACCATCATCATCATCATCATCATCATCATCATCATCATCATCATCATCATCATCATCAGCAGCAGCAGCAGCAGCAGCAACAGCAGCAGCAGCAACATCAGCATCAGCATCAGCATCATCATCATCATCATCAGCATCATCAGTAGCAGCAGCAGCATCAGCGTCATCAACGTCATCAGCATCACCATCATCATCATCATCATCATCATCAGCAGCAGCATCATCATCAGCATCGTCAGCATCATCGTCATCGTCATCAGCATCAGCATCGGCATAAGCAGTATCAACATCATCATCATCAACAGCATCATCATCAGGATCATCATCATCAGCATCATCAGCAGCATCGGCATCAGCGGCATCATCAGCATCATCATCAGCATCATCATCAGCAGCATCATCAGCATCATCAGTATCATCATCGCCATCATCAGCATCATCATCATCATCGTCATCGTCATCATCATCATCATCATCTCCGCCATCGTCATCGTTTTCCTCATGTGGGATATCTGACATATTTCCCTTGGCCACGGCGTCTCGTCGCACTCTGTTGCCATCATCATTGGTGACATCATTGTCTAGAATCAACACCAACACCGTTATCACCAATGCCATCATCATCGCCACCATCATTACCCTCAGGATCATCACCATCATCATCATCATCATCATCATCATCATCATTATCATTATCATCAGCATCAGCATCAGCATCAGCATCAGCATCAGCATCAGCATCAGCATCGCCGTCGTCGGCATCGTCATCATCACCGTTACCAACCGAATATGTATCATCGTCAGCCTCATCATGCTCGTCGTGCTTCTCCCTCCTGCTACTCCCCATCGCCGCTCCTCTGCTAACATCTGCAGCTCCTGCTGCTCCTCATCCTCGCAGTCTCCTGCGGGTCCGAGTGATTGCGCGTTTTGGTAAGGGACAGGGCATCAAACAAGACCCTGCCACCACCAGCACATCATGTGTGCCACCGACAGGGGTGCGAAGTGGCTCAGTGGAGCGTGTGGAACGTGGTCTGCAGCAGGAGCTCGAGGCTTCACCAGTGCCAGCATCGATCCAGAGTCTGCGCATGCAGAGCTGGCGGCGACGCCGCGAAGAGGTACCCCAGACGTCGCGCCAGGCCCATCGAGGGGCAGGACCAGGACGGCGGGTCAGACCTCGATTGACAAAGGGCGACTCCGAGGTTGTTTTTCTGGAGTGTCCCATAGATTGTAGCTATTTCTCGGGGATGCTCTCGTGGGGAACGTTCTGGGTGGGTTAGTCTCAGCGGGGGATGCATTGACCCCCAATCGCCCATCCATCGCCGACAGGGTCCCGATAGCCCGCTCGTCCGTAAGGCGGTTCCCGCGTAGCGCTCGCCTTTATGCTTGGATCCTGCACGGCGCACAGGTGGTTCGGCCGCCGCATGAACTCGAGAGCTTGGCGGCAGCCACGGGTTGCAGCATGTCGGCTACCGCAGGTCAGACCATGCTGTGGAGCGCGGCGGCGCCGACTGGACCCGACCACCTTGTCTCCGTGCACGCAGATGGCAGGGGAGCGCCCCAAAATCAGGTTTTGGAGGGCGCGCGTTCTACACAAGCCTCGCCGCAGTCAGCGAGACTAGCTTGAACTCGTGCCGCGAGGTGCCTGCCCCCGCCCTCCCATGCTGAAGCCAGCGCATCGAGGCGCACGGGCGGGCAGGCATTCGGCCAAGAGCCCAGCGCGCCCGCGAACTGTGAAGGCGCCGATCACCAAAGAGTACCCCATGCGCCTCTCAATGTTGCAGGGGCCGCGGGGGGGGGAAGGTAGCGGGGTCGGAGGGGGAGGGAGGGGGCGGGGGCGTGGTCAGAGGTCGAGGGGGAGGTCGGGGGGCGTGATCGGGTGTGAGTTGAGGGTTCGGGGGGCTCTCGGATTAGGAGGCGGGGGGCGTGGTCGGGGGTGGGCAGAGGGGGGTCGGCGGGGTGTAGGGGGGTGGGTCGGGAGGGCAGTCACGACCCGTTCGGGGCCGCCTCGGATCGCCTATGAGGAGGGCGATGCCATCGTGCCCACGGATTCAGCTGCATAAGCGAGGGAGATCTCTCGCAGTCTTCCGGAGTCTTTCTAGAGCTTCCGCCCCCTCCGCCCACCGCTACGGGACGTGCGGGGCTCGCTTTCTGGGGGCCACGGCAGCGCCCGCGATCCCACGGTCAATAGCCGCTGTCGCGTTACTCGAGATTCACTAGCCGGTAGTAGCGATTCGCACATTAATTCAGCTGCAGCTAGTACAGGCTAATAGCGGTTAGTTGTGGTCTGATCATACCAGTTAAGTGTTGTAAGTGCGATCATTGTGGGTTTCTGAGTGGATGTGCCCACAGGCAGTAACGATGTCGCACCAGTCAGCGACATATATATATACACATATACATATACATATATAAATGTATGTATACACATATGTATAGTGATATCGGTAAATACATTCACTTGTATATGTAAACTTGTCCGTATGTGGATACTAATATATATATATATATGTGTGTATGTGTCAGTGCCGGTCTGCATTTGACTATCTAGAGGAAACGATAACGATACACATATCTATAGATATCGTGATATAAGTAGATCGCTCGCGAGATCGATACAATGATATGCTGATAGAGTTTACTTGACGCGTGGAGACAGACGATTGGCGCCCCCCTCCCAACTTCACGATCGGCCTTTGGCCAGTGTTATGGGTAGAGCACTTGCGTGCGATAATCAAATGTGTTGTGTCGCTTCGTTCCGAACGACGATGACGCAACCTCTTTTTTCTTTCTCTCTCTCTCTCCCTATGTATGTGTATAAAGATCCCCAATAAGCACCGGCCGGAGCAAACGGGCGCCACGGGCGCCATATTGCGTAACGCACATGTCTTTCCCAAAGAGAGGCCCTCGCACCGAGCCCTCCCTCAGCAGCCCGAGAGCGTGGCAATTGTACCCGTTACTTGAGGATGCATAATTGTTCTGTGAAAGCAGGAAGATCGTTGCACTTCAAGATGTTCCATCGAGTTCGTTTGTCTGTTGGGGGATGTCACGCTCCTTGGTTTGCAACGAGGCCCACGCGCACTGCGAAACAAGGCGGTGCAACTTCTGCCCTCCCCTCCAGCCCCACTGGCCAGGCCCTACCAGGTTTTCCTGCCTGTGCGAGATCAAATAATTTCGAATATGAGGATGAAGAGCAAAACGCAATAAGCAAATGAGCTCGTGAGCGCAATAACCGGTAATCTCTCCTACACTTGACCACCCGTGGCTTCGTACAACATGTTCCTTGACAAAAGGATTACTGCTGCTTGGGCGTCGGAGCAAATACGGGGTGAGGTACGTTGCGCTTGCTGTGTGGCCCTCTCTTCTGGCCTCGCATTGGCCGCAGATACCACATACCCCTTCGAAACAACTGGCGCGAGTGATGGCGCAAGGGTGTAGTTTTCGTGGGTGCAGTTTGTTCCTTTCGTTGTGCCATCAGGGCCTCGCGGAAATGACGACGGTTCTGTTCTGGCCGGGTAGTTCGCCACTAAGACTTGGAGGATCCATCCCGCCTCGCGCCTATTCGATTCCGCATGCTGTTGCCGCCCCGCCAGGCTGGCCCGTTCCCAGGCCAGGCTCAGCTCATCCAAGGCGGCTGGCGGAGGTGCCTGAGGTCGGCACGTGTAGGCGCCTCAGTGCTCAGAGTTGTTGTATTGAAGTTGTTCATGTTGCTGCACTCGGCTTGCCCTCGTCATACGCATCGGCAAATGATTGTATGCGTCGTCGCATACATAATAAGGCGGCTTGTGTTAACAATAGGTGCAAACAAACACACGATGGTGTGCGCCTTTCCGTCTGTGCTATGCAGATTGTGTCACAAAAACAGTATGTGCAAGAGTACATGTGGGGCGATGGCGAGCTTGTAACGGTGGGGCGCTAGCATGTGTGCTATTCTCTTGTTGGGATATGGGGCATATGCGCACTCGTACCCTATGATGGTTGTAAAAGACGGGTGTACAGGATTAGGTTGTTTGTGTTCGCAGGAGGGTTGGACACGCCTTTGCTTGCAGCAGCAAGTTCATGACTCGATGCATGCAGACATACAGATCGACACAGAAGCCTGCGTGTCGTCGGCCGTCTACGCTTCGGCAGAGACATGCGCATGAACCAAACGCCACTCCGACATGGTATTCTCGATTATGTTAGCTCAGCAGAGCAAAGCAGTCTACACCGTAGCATCACGCAGGAAGTCGTACCATGACAATGCCTAGCCATGAAAGTCCATACGTGCTCACTCATGTAGCACATCGCAGCATGGCACAACACGAGCCGGCATAGTGCAACACACCATAGCAGCAGTTGAAGCACATCGCATAGTTGACCACCGCCGTGCCACCCAACAGCATATGATGTCAGTTCCCCGCATAGCGTAGCACATGCCATCTTCATGTTGCAGAGCTTGTCGTAGCAAGAGCCTAATCAACCCCATCATCGTTGGCATAAGCCCCAGCACTCCCATATCTCAATCATTCCCAACCCTCCTGCGTTGGGTTCTCGTATTGACTAGAGCACTGCGGTCGAGACCTCCTCCTTCTCATCCCGCCTCCTTCCTCCCCTCGTCTTTCTTCCTGTCCCCTCCCGCCTCTTATCTGCTGCCTCGCCGCCCTACCTGGGAGTCCGCTGGGGGTTGCGAACTGCAGATCTGGGCGAGGTCTCATCCGATCTGAATAGGACATCGCTCCGTTGTGGCCCTCCCAGGAGCCCGCGAACGTGGCGACAGCATCGCAGTTCGCACCCACGAACGCACGAAAGTGGCGATAGTTTCGCAGTTCGCAGCCCCCAACGACGGCGAGATCTCGTCTAATCTGAAACGAACGTCACTCGCTGGATTTCCCAACAGCCCACGAAAATGCGGGAGGTCCAGCGGGGTGACGTCCTATTCAGATCAGATGAGGTTTCGCCACTGCTGGGGGCTGCGAGATTCGAATCGGTAGGCACTCCCGTGGGCTCATAGGAGGTCCAGCGGAGTGACGTTCTATTCGGATCATTTGAGACCGCGCCGTCGTGGGGGTCTGCGGGCGGCCAAACTGTCACCACTTTGGTGGGCCCCTGGGAGGTCCACTGGGGTGACGTCCTTTTCAGATCGGATAAGACCTCCGTCTCCTCTTCCGCCCATCGCTCCCACCTCCATCTCCTCTGCGATCCTGGCGCCCCAGTCCTCGTGCTTCCCAATGCCACCCCCGTGAGTCGTGCAGCACGCGCGCAGCACATGCAGCTTCCACACTGAAGTGTCGCTTCCCGTGCTGTCACCAGCCATTGGGTGATGGGTTATTCCAGCGTTCTCTGCTCGGGAGCTTGCGGAGCGCAGGTGCGGTAACGAAACGCACCCAAGCAACTTCGCAATTTGCCATCCAATGGTTTTTGGCCCATCCCGCCAGCGTGCCTGAGTTGCGGGTATGAATCCTATTGAATGTGCGTTGGGATCTCGTGGGAGGCTTCCCGGGGCCTCTAGAAGGCGGTTTGGACGCCTCTTGGGGGCCGGTTGGAGGCCTTTTTGGGGCCTCTTGGGGCTTCTTGGGGGCATCTTGGGGGCCTCTTGGGGGCCTCTTGGGGCCTCCCGGGCGCCTCTTCGGGCCTTCAGGGGGCTCGGGGCGGAAGGCTCAGATTTTCGGGTTCGTCTTCCCTCTGTTGGGCCCCTTTTAGGGGCCGTCTTCGGGCCCTCTTGGGCCGTCTTGGGCGCATCTAGGGCTGTCTTGGGGCCCTCTTGGGCCGTTTTGGGGCCCTCTTGGAGGCCTCTTGGTGGGCCGTCTTGGGGCGTCCTTGGTGGGGCCGTCTGGGAGCGTCGGAAAGCCGAAAAGGCGAGAACGCCAAAATCCTTCTAAAACCGATGGGCAATCAATGATTGTGGCCTCGTGAGGTCCTCTTGGGAAGCCTATTAGAGGCCTCTTTGGGCGTGTTGGAGGCCTCTTGGGCCGTCTGGGGGCCATCTTGAGCGTCATGGAGCGATCGTTCGGCGACTCGGAGCCTCCTTTGACCGTTTTAGGGGCTTCGTGGGACCATCTTGGCCCGTCTTGGGGCCCTCTTGGGCCCGGAAAGTTCACGCGACAGACCGCGCCACGCCGACGAGGGGCTCCGAACCCTTTAAGAACTCCTCATGGGTGACGACTGAGGCGCAGAGTGGTAGTGAGAGGATTTGGGGGCACACCCATTCCGTGCCCAGAGACAATGTGGCGAATATTCAAGCTGGGTGCGTGTGCGCAGGCCATTCTACTCGAGTCTACTCAACTCACCCTTTCTTGTTTCGCGTCATCACATTCAATTATTATTGTGGTACCCCCACTCGGCAAAGTCGCAGGATTAGCATCAGGAGCCATACGACTAGCCTAGTTACTGGATTGTACGGGGCCATACGGATTCGCAAAACACGTAGGCGGTTGTCGGCGCGAGTTGCTTTTATGCGCAGGACATAAGAAGCATGCTTTCGGCAACCTTTAAGCCAGCCGTTAGGGGGGGCAGTCCACATGAACCAACACGAATCTGTACAGGCCATCGGAGTAGACTACTAGATCGTGCAAGAGCACATTAGAACACACAGGGATACATCATAATGCACAGGAGCATGTAGGAACAAGACAGGGGGGGCAAACAAGGGGGCGCGGATGCCTGGCCGAATAACATATACTCTACAGGATACAGTGCGAGCTCTCGGGCTAGCTATATGCCAACCTAATTCGAGAGCAGGCGCTGTGCAGAATGACGCAGCAGGCATTGAGCCTCGAAAAGCATGGCATAACAGGTTGTTAGTATCTAGTGGCCGCTGGCCGTCCTGCCACAAATACCTGTGCCGTCCGAGGCCCATTGGATACTCCTTGAGGCATTTGGAGGCCGGCGGTCCCAGGGGCCACCTTGGGCTGCAGGGCTCCAGGCGTCAGCTCGAGCTCCCCATCGTTGGGGGACCTGGGATGATGCGCCTGTTTTCCACTACCACCACCACCATAAGTTGGAGGGGGAGGAGGAGGAGGAGGAGGAGGAGGAGGAGGAGGAGGAGGAAGAGGAGGAGGAGGACGAAGAGGAAGAGGAGGACGAGGAGGAGGAGGAGGACGAGGAGGAGGAGGAGGACGAGGAGGAGGAGGAGGAGGAGGACGACCCCCTCCCCCTCCAACGTATGGTGGTGGTGGTGGTGGAAAACAGGCCCATCATGGGACCTCTTGGGGGCCTGTGGGGCTCTCTTGGCGTGACTAGGGCGCGCTGGTGGGTCTTCTTGGTCGCTGCTGCGATGACGGGGTACTCCCGTGGTCTTAGGAGTCCTGGGGCCCGTCCCCAAGGTCTCGCAAAAGGCCGAGAGGTCCCCAAGAGAGCCCCAGAACGGGCTTGGTGGCAGTTATACTGCTGCACGTGGGGAGTGTGGGCTCCGAACTAAGCCCCCGAGGCCTGTCGCAAAGTCACGGGGGGAGCCCCAGAAGCGCCCGAGAGCGCGAAGAAGTCCTTGAGATTCGGAGCTCCGAGGCCCTTGAGACATTTGATTTCGAAGACTCTATGGGGTCACTCTTTGCCTCACGGCACACTGGCGGATATGACGGCATAGTTGATCACCTTGTCATAGCATAGCACGGCGTGCCATAACATAGAAGCGCTTGGTATAAATGCGAGCACCGTGTAGCACTACACACAACAGCATGGCATGCATAACACATCACTAACGTCGAACAGCATGGCGCCACATAAAGAGGCACTAGCATTGTACAACCACGTGCGTTGGATACCATTGCATCGCGCACTATCGCACAACGTAGCAAATCATAGGAATAGTAAACACAATTCGATGGCAGTGATCCATAGCGTGTCCGTGCACCAGTGGGATTGTATTGAGGCGCATGCTTTGAACCCCAGATAGAAACAGGTGAGTGATCTGATTGTCATGTTCCCATGTCTTCGCGTGAAAGTCTCGTCCATTTTTCCGGCAATCGTGGCTTTCTTGTAGGATAGCGCATTTTAGTTGCACCCCGCGTGTTGCTACCGTACAGGCTAGCAAACGCCACAGCCACAAGCTCGCTCGCGTAGCGGCTGGACGTGATCACATCCGGGCGCGATGCCGGTGTGTCAGGCAGTCTTTTTTCCGATGCCCAAGGCTCATAAGAGGCCGGTAAACGCAGGGCCCATAAGAGGCCGGTCGTGTGAGGCCATTGTTGTGCGACCCGTTGTAGGAACCAGGGCGACGCATAATTCATGCATTGCAGCATCGCAGTACCAGCCCCACCCCACTCCTTCCAGCCTTGCAGTTTGATTCTTACGTCTCGTTTAACACGTCTTGCCTCGCGTCTGTATGTAGTTGTAGTTGCGTATCGCTTCATTCGTGCACTTGTTTTGTTTGTGACTGGGCTGCCCAAATGCTACCCTGTGCGCCCAGCATGATTGTGTATTCGTTTTGGGGAAAGCCCAACCGGCTCCTTACTATGATTCGGTATCTGTATTGCTGCGTCCTGCCGTCCTGTTGGAATTTCTCACCATCCAAATCTAGACATGCAGGTCGCTGCGCACTGAAGGAAAGCACCGCTTGCTGCTCATAGTAATGTGTTATGTCTGTCTGTCTGTCTCTCTCTCTCTCTCGCTCTCTCTCTCTCTCTCTTTCTCTCTCTCTCTCCGTATCTCTCGACCCTCTCTCTCTCTCTCTCTCGTTTTCTTTGTCTCCCTTTCTCTCGTTCCCACTCCCACTTCACGCAGCAGTGTGCAGTGGCAAATGGGTAGCACAAGCCAGAAACACAAGACGCGCTGAGACCAGTTGTGTCAGGTAGGGCGACTGCACAATCAGAACGCCCTGAAGATGAGCTGAGACAGTGCAGAAGAGAAGCGGCAATGTCAGCCGAAGGCGCTGGAGAATAAATGAGAGTGGCGGCGAGAAGTGTCAATTCAGTCACGGTGGCCCAAACTGGCCAAGAAACGCTGTTCAGCTGAAATTTGCTTGTGGGCCAGATCAGTGTTTTGTCTTGTCGTGGGATGCAGATTGAAGCTTCCTCGCCAATACGCTGATAGGTTGGTTCTGAAACTGCTGCGCGTCAGAAATGGGAAGCTGTTTACGTGTGCTTGTCGCGTTACACACTATTCACACGGCTTAGATACGTGCCACGAATATGTTCTCATGTTGGGAACGTCTGGGTTCGATAAAATACAGCTCCACGTCGGCCAGAAGATTCGACTGCAACGTTCGCCATTGCACAACAGTGATTTGTGTGTGATAATGCAGGTTCAGATGTGTCAGCACGTGCTCATTGAGGGTTCACTTTGAAACCAGCCATTCCACTGTCTCACACACACACACACACACACACACACAAGTAGCAGTCCGTGCGCAGAGCTCCGAATGAGATGGACACCCAGTAATCACGCGCGCGGGCCTTGCGCCGCAGTCCCTGACATCATTATTTCTGCGATCGATACCTCGAATGCGTCCTGCGATCTACTGGTTCTCGTCCGAGACAAGCTCGCGCGAGACGAGCCATGCTTATAAAGGATGGGCAGGACGCACATCTGCCAGGGACCAGGAGGGCTGCTGGAGGAGAGGGGCTGCTCAGAGGCCCCGTCCCAGCGGCGGCGCAGTCACAAGACGGCCCAAGCGGGGCGTACTTGCGACAGGCAGGGCGCGCGACGGGCGCAGCAGGCACGGGACATGAGCAAGAGGTAGTTGCTGGACTTGGGGCGTGAGTTTCACAAGTCTGCCGCACGTGAGCCCGAGAGCTGGGACCGGGCCTCTGAGTGGCGGGAGGGGATCGACCGCGGCTGCCAACCTCTCCCTGAGAACCGACGGCTGACCGCCAGCCAGCCTCGGAACGTTCAGGCGGCCCGGCGCGCCATGAAGCGTTTGCGGCAGGAGCGGCCAGAAGATGCGAGCACGAAGCCCGCAGCGGAATTCTCAGATGGAGCGCTCGGCTGCGGGGAGGGCCGAGGGGAGGTGGGGGAGGGAGGGAAGCGGGGGAGGAGGGGGGGCCAGGGGAGCGGGGCGGCCCTCTTTCCCTCCTCTGCACCCTCCCTCTTTCCCCCGCCGCGTTGCTGGGCAGTGGGCAGCCGGCGGGGTCGCAGGCAGGGGGGGGGCCAGTGGGACCACCCGGGTCGGGCGGGACGAAGGGGCAGGATAGGGAAAGGGGGGGTAAGAAATCTGCTGCATGCAGCTGGTTTCCGCCCCGCCGCCGGGCCCAGTCCTCGATACACGGGCGCCTCGCGGCGCCAGGAGGCGCCAGGAGCACCAGATATACGTGAGCGGATTCTCTATCCTGCCTTTTGCTTATCCTGCCCTTTCGTCCCCCCCGACTGGGGAGGGGGGGGAGGGGGGGAGTCGGCCACGCGCAGAAGGGGTAGGGGGAGGGAACGCGCAGGCCTTATCTGAAGATGTAGGGCCGGCGCCTTCTAAGAAGCAGCCTCCTTCTGAAAAGCCTTCCCCCTCCCTCTACCCCCCTCTGCGCGTCGCTAAGGGAAGGGGGGAAGGGGGGGGCACCTCTGGGGAGGGCAAGGCCATGCAGGGGGTCGGCCTCGCGGCACGAAGCCAAGGCTGGACGGCGCCTGCCCGAAGCGTTTTGGCCCACGGTCGCTTGAGAAGGGGTGGCGTGCTCGACTGGCAGGCCCGAGCCAGCCCTGAGCTGACGAGCGAACAACGCGCACCCGTACCCATAGGGGGGTCGTAGGAGGGCGCATCGGCTATGGGTATGGGTGCGGGTTGTCGATCCCCAGGGAGGCTCCCGTCCGAGCGGGGACCCCCTTTCCGACCCCCTTTCTATGGGCATGGGAGTTTGTTGTCCGTTCGACATGAGCGGGCTGCTGGAGGAGCGGGGGGATCAGCAGGGGTGCCCAGCCACGCGGCACAGTGCAACCGTTGCCCGCTCTCTGTCTGCCGTGAGGGTTTCCCGCCACGGCTTTCAGGGCCGATTTCGATCCGATCGATCCGATCTGACATCAATTCCGACGAGTTCGATACAGTTCGATTCAGATTTCCTGGCGATCAGATGTGGCCCGATGCTTACCGGGCTCCAGTGTGCGTCTTGGTGCAGCTGGCCCGATTCGATTTCGACGTCGTCCCGATGCGACCAGATCCGACGCGCATTCCGATTCGATCCGACTTTCCGATTCGATCTTGACCGACCTTGCCTTTGTGAAAGCCTGGGGCTGGAAGCTTGGACGCCCGGTGGTGCGCTCCCTCGATGTCCGACGACTCGGGTTGTTCGACCCGTTCTCCCAGATGGACGCTTCGTCGCCTTTGCTCTCTAGCAAGTTGGCGCTGGATCGATCCACCGCTTTGGGCCCGCCCTTTCCCCAAAATTCAACTCCAGTGCCCCCCCCCCCTCCCTCCGTCCACTTCCGTCTTCACCCTCCCCTCGCCGCCCTGCTCCTGCTGCTCCTCCTGCCTCGCCTCCCCCCTCATCTCTCCTCCCTCCCCTCTCCTCGCCTCGCCTCGCCTCCCTCATCCCTCCTCCCGTCCTCTCTCCTCTCCTCCCTCCTCTCTCCTCGCCTCGCCTCTCTTCCCCCCTCCTCGCCTCACTCCCTCATCCCCCTCATCACTCCTTCATCCGCTCACCCCGCCCTCGCCTGCGACCCACCCCACGATCCCACCCCGCGAGCCCGCCCAGCCACCAGCCTGCGATGCGCCCCGCTCCGCAACCTACGCCCCTTCGTTCGAGCCCGCAACCGTTGCGGGGAGCTACTGGGCCCTAGGTCCCCTCGGTGCCCTGCCAATCACAGACAACGGTAACAAAGATCAATGTGTTTCTGCTGTTGTATTCTGTGGAGAGAACACGAGGCACGGAACAAAAAATAGCCCGCCGAGGATGCTGCGGACCATCGGTGCGAATTGTGTGGCTCTGTTTGCTCGAGCCTGGAGCTTGTTATCGTTGGGACCGTTATCGTTGTTACCGTTGTTGTCCCCACCCTCATCGCGGGCACGGGCTTTGGCGGGCTTGCGGGTGCTGTTGCTTGCCTGCCTGCCCGTGTTTACCTCTCTTTCTCTCTCTCTCTCTCTCTCTCGCTCGCTCGCTCGCTCGCTCGCTCGCTTTCTGTCTCTTTTGTTGTTTCTCTCTCTCTCTCTCTCTCTTTTTCTCTCTCTCTCTCTCTCTCTCTCTCTCTCTCTCTCTCTCTCTCTCTCTCTCCCGCGCAGGGCATCCCAGCGCCTCCGCGCGGTCATGGAGGAGGGGGTCCCATGGTCCCGGCGGTCGTGCGGTCCACTGTGGGCACCGCTGCCAGCGCAGCGTCGTGCCCCCGCGTGTTCGTGACTTGCGTAGACCGCGACCGGCACCTCCGGGAGCTGGGGGAACAAAAATATATCCAGCTGCTTGCGGCAAGTCCCGCCGCCGTGCCAGCCCAGCATTCTGGGTCGCGATTGTTCGAGGGGGGACGGGAGGCCGTCACGTGGGACACCGTGGGTTTCCGGACTTAGGAGAGCCATGAGAAGAATGGTGATGATGATGATGATGATTGTGAGGCTGATTGGGATGATGACGATGGTGATCGATGGTGGTCGATGGTCAGTATGGGAGTGAAGAAGATGATGATGCAAATGAAGATGAAGATGCTATGAAGATCAATCAGCATCCCAGTGCGACCCTACCTAGGAGTTGGAGCATCTGTGCTATGCTGCGCTATGCTGTGCTATGCTATGCTATGCTGCGCTATGCTATGCTATGCTGGGCTATGCTATGATATGCTGTGCTGCGCTATGCTATGCTATGCTATGATGTGCGCTGCTATGCTAAAGCTCAGCGAAGCTAAGATGATGGTAAGCTAAGCTAAGATAAACCTGAGCTAAGATGAAGCTAAGCTAAGCTAAGATGAAATAAGCTAAGCTAAGATGAGATAAGCAACGCTAAGCTAAGGGGACGTAACTGGGGGAACCGCGGGGCGGATACTGGGGGAACCGCCCGGGGCGGTTTCCACTGCCCGGCCCCTTTAAGAAAGAGAGTAAGAACCTTCTAGGCAGAGCCTAGGTAGGGAATAAGAGTAACTAGTAATAATACAAATGGTACGATGGTGAAGAGGATGCTGATGATGATGATGATGATGATGATGATGATGCTGATGATGATGATGATGATGATGATGATGATGATGATGATGATGATGATGGTGATGGTGATGGTGATGGTGATGACGACGACGACGACGACAATGACAATGATGATGATGACGATGATGATGCTGATGATGATGATGCTTATGTTGATGATGCTTATGATGATGGTGAGGAGAGGGAGGATGAGGAGGAGGCGGCAGAGGAGGAGGATGGTGCTATTGATGGTGATGATGGTGGTGATGATGATGGTGATGATGGTGATGATGGTGATGATGATGATGATGATGATGATGATGATGATGATGATGATGATGATGATGATGATGATGATGATGAAACTCGTATGGGCCGTCTTTGGGCTGTCTCGGCCTCCTGTGAGGCAGTCTCGGGGGTCCCTGGATGCCCTGTTGAGCCGTCGAGGGTCCCTCTTACGTCGGCTTGGGGTTCTCTTGGGCCGGCTTGGGGCCTTCTTGGCCGCATGGTGGGTGTTTGGAGGCCGTCTTGGCACCGTCTTGGGCCGTCCAAAGGCCTTATATGGCCGTCTTGGGTCCCACAGGAGGCCTTTTTGGGCCGTCTTGGGGACGCCTTGAGGCAGTCTTGGATTCCTCTTAGGCCATCGTGGAGTCCTCGTGGGTCGTCTCGAGCTGACGACAGCCCGAAAAGGCGAGAATGCAAACATCATTCAAACTTGTTGCCAAACAATGATTTGGGTTTCTTCGGACCCTGCTGGAGGCACTCCTGTGGCCATTTGGGGCTCTCTTGGAGGCATCTTGGGCCGTCTTGAAGCAAGATTCGGCCTCCTTGGGGCCGTCTTGGGCAATCTTGGGCAATCTTGGTGTCCTTGGTTGCTTGCACGGGCCGTCTTGGAAGCTCGGTTCGTTTTTTGACCAGGGATCGTGGCTTGGGAGGCCCTGGAGCGCGTGTGAGCGGCGCCTGGGAAATCGGGACGTGCACGATCCTCGCGCGGGTGCGCGTGGGATGAGGTAACAGCCATGCGGTAAGTGCGCAATCCTCGAGCGGGTACCCGTGAAAGTGGGGTTCAGGCATTAGCGGCCATGCGGGAAGTGCACCATCCTCGAGCGGGCACGCGTGGAAGGGAGTTCAGGCTTAGCTGCTACGAGGACAGCGCACTATCTTCGAGCGGCCACGCGGGGAAGGGAGGTTCAGGCAGTAGCTGCCGTGCGGGAAACGCGCCATCCTCAAGCGGGCACGCGTGGAAGGGGTGCTAGACATTTGCTGCCACGCTGGAAGTGCACCATCCTCGAGCGGTCACAAGGGAAGCGGCCTTGGTGAGTAGGGGGGGTGCACGCAGCAGTCTGCGACCGCGGGAGGGGGGGGGTCCCAGATTAGACTGCAAGAACCCTACCAGACAGGCCTTGGCAGTCTTCCACGCCTCAACGTGCACAAGCTACGGTGGCGGACCGATACCGCTACTCCACGGACCTCTCCTGGAATGCGTTCTGACCAAAGTTCGAAGCGAATCCGGCCGTGGCGACGGGCAAAAGGGTAGCGGTGTCGATATCGCTCCCCCCTCTGAGGAGCTGCTGGTGCTTCCCCTCGGCCAGGCCATCGATGAGGGGTGGCCCAGGCCTCCCAAATGGGGTCCGATCAGACGGGGTCGGAGGATCGCGCCGCATCGTCGATGCATCGGCGGCGTCGGACTGGAGCAAATCGGGCTCGATGCATCGGCGATGCGGTGCGATCTTCCGCCCCCTTGTACCCATCTGCTCAGACCACATTTTGGGAGGCCTCGAGGTGGAGGGTCGCCGACCTGCTGGACGAGGTGCGCGCCAGGGTGCGCTGGGTGCTGCAGGAGCCCCGCGCTGCCGAGGCGGTGACAATCCGGGGCGTGCAAGGGGGCGCAACGGGGCCGGTGGCGTGTCCGCTCCGGAAAGGAGTCGCGGGCTCGGAATCAGGCCCCCAGAGACCAGGACACAGATAAACCAGGACTTGGGAAACCAAGGAAACGACACCCTTTCTTGCAAAGTCACATTTTCCAGCACCTGTGCATCTTCTGTTTGCTGCGCTGCAGGATTCGGGTTTGTGTCTGGGTTTGGGGGGGGGCTGCGCTGCAAGATTCGGGTTTGTGTCTGGGTTTGGGGGGGTCTTGCAGGCTTTTAGGGCTTGTGTCCGGGTTTATTCTGGAAGTGCGACAGTGCAGTCTTTCTTGTGCTCGTGCCGCCGTCTGGAAAAATCGGTTGTAAGGGATGTCGGGTGTCCAGGTCCTGGCGTGTCCGGGTTTACGAGGCCCTGGCGGAATCAGGCTCGGGAACTCCGGGGTGGGGGTGGGGGCAGGCGGGGGTGGCAGCTTCTCTGGACCTGGTGATTCGGGAAGCCGTCACTAGCGCAAAGTTTACTGAGGATCTCGGCAGAGCTGTCTGCAAAAAGGTTCCGGTGGTCGGCGGGGGCGGGAGGGGGAAGACGTCCGCTTCGCGGCCTGGGCAGTTCCCCAAGGTTCCGGCGGTGCGTTTCGGTTCCGGCCTGCGGGGCCCGTGTTCGGACCCTGGGTAAATCTAGGACGAGAGTCCGCCCCCTGGGGCAGGGTCGGCAACTGTGGGGGGTCGCGGGTGGAAAAAGCAAGGTCCGAGGATGTCAAGCCTTGCAGCCCAGCGCGGCGCTCCGATTTGAATGTTTCGGCGCCCCACTCGGCGGCGCCCTCAGCGGGGGAGTGTCGGAACAGAGGACATCCTCTGCTCTGTTCCTCTCCTCCGCTCTTCTGCTCTTCTCTGCTTCTCTCCTCTACGTCGCTCCTACCCCCTGCCCCTTTTCTCTCCTCCGCTCCTCTCCTCTCACCTGCCCCTCTCTCCTGTTTATCGCCTCTCCTCTCCCCTGCTCTATCCTGCTGCTCTCTTCTCCTCTGCTCTTCTCCTCTGCGACCGCCTGCGGCTCTCGTCACGTTTCCGCAACCAAGTTGGCTTGAGCCCTCGAAGGAGGGCCAGGCTTTGGGCTGGCCTCGGGGGCGATCGCAACTCTTTTCAGCCACGCGCAGAGGGGGGTGGGGGGGGGGAGGGCTTCTTAGAAGCACCCCTGCTTCTTAGAAGGCGCAGGCCATTTCTATAGATGTAAGCGCCCTCTAAGAAGCAGCCTGCTTCTAAGAAGCCTTCCCCCCTCCCCCCACCCCCCTACCCCCTCCCCCCACCGGGAGGGCGGAGGCCTCGGGGGGCTCCTGCGCGGGCTCGGAGCATGCCCGAAGTGTTTGTTTTTCCGATGGTGGGCCGGGAGTTTGAGGCCGGTATCCAGGGCAAGTGCCTCCCGTTTTCCCAGGGGCGGCCTCCGAGGGGCCCATTCCTCGATACACAGTCGCCTCCAGCAGCTACGTGAGCTGATTCTCAAACCCCCCCTTTGCTATCCCCCCCTTTCGCCCGACCCGAGCGGCGCAGCATCCACGGTCACCTCTCGTGGGCATTCAGAGAGTTCGCCCACATCGTATGTGGTCGAGACGTTGCTGCGCGCTCTTGTAGAGCTCGTCGATTCGCGTGCAGACCTGTTGCTGCTGCTGATGCTGCTGCCTTCGGCTCTCGCCTTCCACAGACTCCCAACGTTTCGAGATGCTCTACAGTTTCCCCTGTTATCGGCGTTGGGGGGGCCTTCGCTGGGCCCCAGGGCCGTCGAGCAACCACTCAGGACGAGGAGCTGGCCCTGGGGAACAGTTTCAGGCCCCTGGGGGGCCCGCATCGAGAAATTTGAGGCACCGGATGTTTGGGTCTCTCCGTTGCTATTTCGGCTTGCGCATCCTCAGGCCAGACCGATACAGCCGGGCGGTGAGGGGGTAGACAGTATACCCCATTATTCAGGGAAGAGAGTCATTGTGGCGCAGTCCTTGTCGCGGTGACGGGGCGGCGACGGCGAGCACGGAGCCGCCAGACCAACACCCAGGCCCAAACGACGGGCGGCGACGAGGCGGCGACGCAGTGGCGACGGCGAGCACGGAGCCGCCAGACCGACAATCCCCCCCAGACGTCGGACGGTGACGGGGCGGCGACGGCTTGCGCGGGGCCGCCAGACCGACACCCACACTACAGTTTTGTAGAACACAAGCAAGAAGCCCTAAGAACAAACATTGTTTGGGGAAGAAGAAAGAGATGCAGACATACGCACAACAAACAAACACGTACAGACAACAAAGACGATAAGGAAACAACCAGATTATACATTCTCAATCGATACATATATATATATATATAGACACACACACACATGCGACCATCCTTCGGGTGATAAGGAGGTTTGGGGCGCCCGGCGGGCGGGCAAAGCCAAGTGCTGGCAAATGCGAGGGGTGTGATGATGGCGGTGCTGGTGACGCGCCTTCGAGTGAGCGGCGACGCGTGATGACACCGTTGCGCTGCGATGTAATGCCACTATCGTCCCTGCTTTCGATGCTACTCGATCGATCCCATTATCGACCCTACCAGGATAAATCACACTCAATCAATATCACTATAGCTTTCACCATGGATCCCACTATAGATTTCGCTATTGATGTCAATGTCGGTATCACGATCGATGTCATTATCGATATCACGACCGATTTCGCAACGAATGTCACAATAAATTTCGTTATCTGTCGATCTCACGTTTGATCTCACGATTGATCTCACGACCCATCCCATTCGAGCGATTTCATTATCTATCTCACCATCGACTTCACGATCGCAACCAACGCGAGACGCCCCCGGCCACCGCCCGCCCACCGTCGAGGGAACACCGACGTGACACCAACGGGACACCAACGGGACACCACGGCGGGACACCCTGGGCCACCGCGCGCCCACTGGGGGTGGAGGGGCGATGCACTGCATCCGGATCGCTCTAGCGACGGCGGGGTCATTCCTCCGCGCGCCCATGTAACTTCGCCTCGCCCGCACGCACGACACGAAGACGAAACCGGCACCGATTGCTGGGTGATGGGCTGTCCGATTCACGGCGGTTTCACCCCCCAGCCTCCGATAGATTGGATTCCCTTTATTTCCATGTTTTTTCGCAAGGAGGACGTGCAGGAGCTGGAGCTGACCAGCCACGGGGGCCGCCTGCACGAGGGCGACCCGGTTGAGGCCACCGACAGCCTTTCGGCAACCCATCTTCGCCGTGTTGGTCCTCGTCCTCGTCCTATTCGTCAACGTCCACACATCTCCGAGAATTTGATTCTTTCAATACCGTATTGTTTCTCGATGTCAGTCTGCTGGGCCCCGCGACCATCAAGCATGCACCGAGGACGAAGAACTGTGCCCGGGGAAGGGGTCGGGACTTCTGGAGCCGCGCAGTGTAATCATAATACGTAGCACCCCGCAGATGCGGGTAAGAGTGAGGGGGCGGTGGGGACGTCGGCAGCCTGCGAGACTCCGGAGAAGCCCGCCGCAGGCGCCAAAGTTTCACAAATTATGCAACGAGCCCGCCGCAAGCGCCGATTTTTTCGTTAAACCCATGTGAGTAGGTCGCGGGTGGGTCGCAAATGGGTCGCGAATGGGTCGCAACTGGGTCGTGTGTGCGTCGCTGGTGGGTCGCGGGTGGTTCGCGGCTGGGTCGCGGGGGGGTCGCGGGTGGGTCGCAGATGGGTCGCGGGGTGGATCGCGGGTGGGTCGCGGGGTGGGTCGCGGGTGGGTCGCGGGGTGGATCGCGGGGTGGGTCGCGGGGTGGGTCGCGGGGGGGTCGCGGGGTGGGTCGCGGGGGGGACGACGACAACAAACAACAACAACGCAACAAGCGGAATCCTCACCACGGATCGCCACTTAAGCCACGCACCCAGGAACAATGAGTGACCGTCCGGTCCCCTCACTCTGATCTTAGGTCGACTGGGTTTTCAGCACGCTCCCGGATGCGAGTGCACTGTAGCGTCCGCGGCGGTCCCTGGCACCCGGGCGTCGCGAGAAAACGCGGCGGCTGCGATGTTTCGGCCCGTCTCGGGAGGGGCCTGTCGACCTTTACGGCTCGATCTTGCTCGAGAAATCTCGCATGAAGGTGGGGTGGAGGTCGAAGCAGGCGAGGGTTGGGAGGCGGACTCGTTGCGATCGCCGTCGGCGTCGAGGGGAGAAGGAGAGGCGTGAGCTGGAAAGCCAACTCGTCGAGGCCCACGCAGGAGATATGTTGCTTCCGCTGCTTTTTGCACCCCGTCATTTGCTTCTCCGCGGGGATCCCTTCGTGACTCTGGCGTCGTGGAGTTTTGTTCACATCGTCGGGTGTCGGGGGCAGACCAGATCTCGAGGAACGAGCAAACACGAGACGAGCATCATGATGTTGCTGTTCCACGCGGATTTCTCGGGTCGGCGCAGAACAGACCTCCGACGCTGTGGTTCGCAGGCGGCTTCTCCCCGAGTCGAGCCAAGCCCGAAAAAATACGCCGCTCATCCTACTTCTCTGCCTCTTTTGCATCCTCTGCCTCTGTCTCCTCCTCCTCCTTATCCTTCTCCTCCTCGTCCTCCTCCTCCTCCTCGTCCTCCTCCTCTCCTCCTCATCTGCCTCCTCCTCCTCCTCCGTCGACTCCTTCGACTCCTCCTCCTCCTCCTCCTCCTCCTCCTCCTCCTCCTCCTCCTCCTCCTCCTCCTCCTCCTCCTCCTCCTCCTCCTCCTCCTCCTCCTCCTCGCTGCATCGTGTCTGGCGCCGCACCCGACGTGTTCCGCGCGCCAGGGCAGGGGAGGCCCAGCGCCGGCCCCAGAAGTCCGCGCGGGCCCCCAGAAGTCTGCCGCCGTCTGGTGCCGCCAGGGCAGCCGGTGAGGACCCAGGCCGGAGGAGGAGCAGGGCTGATGCGCTGGCCGCTCACGGCCGTCTCCGCGGTGCCAGGCCACGACGCAATGCAGACAGGAGGGGCCAGAGGAGGAGGAGGAGGAGGAGGAGGAGGAGGAGGAGGAGGAGGAGGAGGAGGAGGAGGAGGAGGAGGAGGGCGGCGCTCCGGCGGGAGGCCCTCGACAGGGCCCGGGTGGGCATTGTGCCCGTGGCCCGAAGCGGCCAGCTTCGAAGCCAGCTGCGCCTCGTCCACAGACCCAGACATGCCCGCGTCGTGAGAAAATCACGACGGGAGGTTTCTGGCCGTCTTCGGCCTCCGGGGGCCCTCGCTGGGCCGCGTGGCCGTGAAAAAAAGGTTCGGGATGGAAAACCGGCCCTGCGAAAAAGGTCGGGACGGCCAGGGACTCCATGTTAAAAAGCAAGCAAGAGCGCCTTCTGGTCAGGCTTGGAAGGGGGAGTGGCTTCGAACGGGGGGGGGTGGACGGGGAAGGGGTTCTCACCGCGGAGGGCCCCACCCGCTCCTCTCTCTCTCAAGGAGGGGGAGAGGGTTCGAACGGTGGGGGGCCCCCCCTGTGAATTGCTGAATTGCAAGGGGGGGTGTTCGAATTGGGCCCCCCCGCCGGGAACCGACGACGACGAGCGCTGGCGGCAGCGACGATGACGACGACGAACGACGAACGACGACGACGACGACGACGACGACGACGACGACGACGACGACGACGACGACGACGACGACGACGACGACGGTGACGACGACGACGACGACGACGACACGACGACGACGACGACGACGACGACGACGGTGACGACGACGACGACGACGACGACGACGACGACGACGACGACGACGACGACGACGACGGTGACGACGACGACGACGACGACGACGACGACGGCGACGGCGACGACGCTGACGGTGGTGAGGACGCCGACGACCACGACGGTGATGACGGTGATGCCGACGACGCTAACGACGGTGACGACGCCGACGACCACGACGACGCTAACGACGATGACGATGCCGACGACCACGACGGTAACGGTGACGGTGATGCCGACGACGACGACGACGACGACGACGACGACGACGACGACGACGACGACGACGACGGTGACGACGGTGACGACGGCGACGACGACGACGACAACGACGACGACGATTCAGTACGAACCGATGGTCTTTAGCTAGTATGGCCGCTTCGAACAAAAAGCACGGGTAATATAGAGTAGAGTAGGGTAGAGTGGATCAAAGCAGACTAGAATAGTGTAGAATAGAGGTGGGGTAGATGGTAGGGTCAAATCGGGCATGATAGAGGAGAGGCAAGTAGAGTAGAGAGTACAATAGGACCAGGAGTAGAGCGGAGTAGAGTAGTGTAGTGCAGAGTAGGCTAGGGCAGGTCAGGGTAGGGTCGAGGCCCCCCCCTAGACCGCAAGCCGTTTCGCTCATTCCCACCAGCCCTCCCAACACATCAGTAGTACCCGAGTCTCAGCACACTGCCGAGTTGCGCCACGCATGCCATTTGCGCCACGGGTTTTAGATGCACCAAGCACCCTGGAGGCCCAAGCGTACGAGGCGCGGCAAGTACCGCACGTGTTCCACGAGCGCCAAGTGCGCCACGTGCTCCAGCCGCGCCTCGTGCGCCACGTGCTCGGCGCACGCAGCGCGTGCGAGGTGCGCCATTGCACAGCCGTCGCCGGGTGAAGCATGTATTGTTTTGGGACTGGGATGGTTGGCCTGCGCGTATCAACCAATATGCCGCCACCCCCGCCATCCTTTTCAAAAACCAATGCTGACTGGTCGCGGGGCGCTCGCCGAGTTGTCGCGGGGCGCCCGCGCATGCTCCGGATTGGGAGGCGAAGTGCATTGTGTATTGTTTTTGATAAGGACGGTCGGCTTGCGCGCAACTTGTCCGCAAAAAGCAGCATGCCAGCACCCGCGCCGTCTCTGTCAAAACCGATGCAGAGTGGTCGTGGGGCTCCCGAGCATGCTCGAGATTTGGAGGTAGAGTTCATTCTGCATTGTTTTTGGCATGTATGGTGGGGGGGGGGGGGGCATGTCCCTGGTTGGCCCACAGTCTGGTGGGGGAGAGCGCGTTCATTAAGAATGAGCAGTAATAGAGTAGAGTAGGGTAGTGTAGAACAGAGGTAGAACAGAGTAGGTCAGAGTTGGGTAGATGGCAGAGTAGAGCCGGGCATAACACAGTGAAATACAGTAGAGTAGACAGAATAGACAAGAGCAGCGTTTTTGTTCAGAAAAGGGTAGAGTAGAGTAGCCTGGGAGCAAATTAAAGTGCAATTGGAGTGGAGTATAGTAGAAGTAGATTTGAGTAGAGTGATGTAGAGTAGAAGAGGGTCGGGCAGGGTAGGGTAGGGTAGAATAGAGTAGGGCAGAGCAGATCAGAGTAGAGTAGAGTAGGATACACGGAAGAGTAGAGTCGGTATAATAGAGTAAAGTATACCATCGTTGAGTAGAACAGAGAATATTTTAGAGTATACTAGATTTGGACCCAGCGAAAGTAGGATCCGATGATAGTTGGATCGAGCATTAGCAGGATTTAGTAGGCGTTGGATCCAGCAATAGTAGGATTCAATCAGAGCTGGGTCCAGACATAATAAGGTTCTACCAAAGTAAGAGCGAGCCCGCAGGATTCGATCAGGGGGAGGGGGAGGGTGCCCCGGTTCGACCCTCCCCCCTTTGCCCTTTTCACAGGGGGGGTGGGGGGACACTCCCCGGTTCGAACACACCCCCCTTGCAACTCAGAGAAAGGGGGGCACACAAAGTTCGAACACTCCCCCCCCTTGCCTACTTGGACAGGATGGGGGGGAGGGGGGCAGTTCGAACCCAGCCCTCACCCTTGGAGAAGGGGGGGCCCCCCGATTAGGAAAGCCGGGTGAGGGCCCCACCTGGTTGTCAGGGCGTGCTCGATGTTTTGGCTGGGGCCCCCACCCCTCCCTGGTTCCACGCGTTCAAACGTTTTCCTAAGGCAAGCGTTCACGAAACGCGTTCTCTCCAAGCAAGACATCACCCCGGCCGCGGGCTGCGGCCTGTCGCCGCCGCTGAGCGGCACGCGTGTCCCTCGCGAGCATGGGGGATCGGATCGCGGTAGGCGGGGGGGGGCGCACGGGTGGTTTCGACGCGCGGGGGTGGCACGGCGTGGAGTGGGCTGTCCCTTGAGACCCTGGCGTCTCGATTTCTTCGAGTCGGGCGGTTTCGCCTGGTCTCGGGCCCCGGGACCCTCACAGATCGAGTCGGCTCGAAAGATGACGCGGAAAGCCAGGGTTCTCTAGCTCTGAGCGCGATGGTGCAATGTTTGCTGCAACGTCGGATCTCAGGGTCGGGCGGCGTGGCATTTAGGGGGTGCTTCTTCATTTCGTCCGAAATTCATTTTGTCTGCTTCATTTCGTCCGAATGTCATTTCGCCTGCTTTTATTCGTTCGCTTCGGTTCGCCTGGACGAACCGAACGGCGGCGAGACGAAAGAGGACGAGTCGAAAGAGGACGAAACGAAAGCGGACGAACTGAAAGCCCACCGCTCGTTCAACACGTGTGCAGCGCATCACGAGGCCGATGGGGCCAGCGAAGCGGGCGGGCCGCGCCCCGCATGCCATGCCCGCTCCGTCCCCCCGCCGCCTGCTGCCAGCTCCGCCGCACCCGCTCGAAGTCGGCGCCTGGACCTCTCCCGGAGCACGCTCTGGGCGACGAGGAGGAAGACGCCCCCCAGGGCCAGAAGGGGAGGGAGGAGGAGGAGGTTCGGCAGGAAGAATGGGCGGCCTCCCCTCTTCTCCCCCCCTCCACCTCGGATGGAAACCAGGTCCTCCGATGGTAAAGGAGGGCCTCCGCGGCCGCGGCGGCGGGCGCCCGTGCGTGGGCGCCGCGACGCGGGCGCGGACCTGGGAACTCGTGGAGCCGAGCTGCAGCGGCATGATGATGATGACGACGACGACGATGATGATGATGCTGATGGTGATGCTGATGCTGATGATGATGCTGCTGATGATGATGCTGATGATGATGCTGCTGATGATGATGATGCTGATGATGCTGATGATATTGGTGGTGCTGATGACGATATGATTATGATTATGATTATGAGGATGAGGATGAGGATGAGGATGAGGATGGGGACCAGGATGAGGATGAGGATGAGGATGAGGATGAGGATGAGGATGTGATGATGATGATGATGATGAGGAGGAGGAGGAGGAGGATGAGGATGAGGATGAGGATGAGGATGAGGAGGATGAGGATGAGGATGAGGATGAGGATGAGGATGAGGCTGAGGCTGAGGCTGAGGATGAGGATGAGGATGAGGAGGAGGAGGAGGAGGAGGAGGAGGATAAAGAGGATAAAGAGGAGGAGGAGGAGGAGGAGGAGGAGGAGGAGGAGGAGGAGGGGGAGGAGCACGAGCTCGCTCGAGCAGGAGCAGGAGCAGGAGCAGGAGGAGCAGGAGAAGCAGCAGGAGGATGAAGAGGAACGCTCAGAGCCTCAGAGCCTCTCCCTCTCTGACTCCCTCTTGGGCCGCGCCAGCTCGTGTGGTTATCTTGCCTGGTCTAGCTGCTCAGCGAACTCATCCGTTGCTTTGCGTTGCGACCAGCGCTCAGCCGCAACCATGGGTACGGCTCTGTGTTCACACCTGCTGCACCGTGGCATCCCGGATCCTGGCTACTGGATCTCCCCCAGGGGTCCTTCAGTTGCCCGAGAGGGGCCCAAAACGCTCAAAGGCTTGCTGGGAATCCTCCGAGATTCTCCCTCCCCGATTTACAACGGCAAAGGGGGGGGCACGAGTGAGCACCTGCTGCCCTCTCCCCCCCTCTCCACTCCTCGGCCTCGATCCGCCTCCTCGCCGCGCGGCCTTGGCGGACCCGGCGCCGCAGGCCGTGCTGGGCGACGGCGACCTCGTCCGCACCGCCTGCTCCGCGCCCAGCGTGCGGGGGCCGGGCAGCTCCCGCGGCGCGCCGCCCTGGCAGGTGCCGGCGTGGGCCCAGGAGCAGGCACGCGCGGAGGGGCTGCAAGCAGTGATGGGCCTGTTTTCCACCACCACCACCACCACCACCACCATAAGTTGGAGGGGGGGGGGTCCTCCTCTTCCCTCCTCCTCCTCCTCCTCCTCCTCCTCCTCCTCCTCCTCCTCCTCCTCCTCCTCCTCCTCCTCCTCCTCCTCCTCCTCCTCCTCTTCGTCCTCCTCCTCCTCCTCGTCCTCCTCCTTCCCCCGTCCAACTTATGGTGGTGGTGGTGGTGGAAAACAGGCCCATCAAGCAGTGGTCGGGGTTGTAGCAGGCGATGGCGGGCGCCATAACGCGTGCGGGAAGCCAGCGGGCCGCGCGCGGGGGCAAAAGCGCGCCAGACAGCCAGGAAGAGAAGAGGGCGGCCGCGGGGGGAAGGCGCTGGGAAGGGGAAGGAAGGAAGGGGGAAGCAGGAGGGGCAGGACTTTTGGGAAGGCGGGTCGCAGCAATGAGCAGCACATGCCACAACTCAGAGGAGGAGGCAGTAGCGATTACCGCTGCTCGTCCTGGAGAGCCCTCGGCGCCGCGGCATGGTTGGCCTCGAGATTCTGATCAGAACGCGCACCAGGGGAGGTTCGTGGAGTAGTTAACCCAAAAACTATTGGCAAGATTACTGCAGAAAGGAGACGGCAGATCACAATGGATTGGCGGGTTGGGTTTCTTTGTGCAGCCAGAGGGTGTCTTGGCTCAGGTCGCTTGCTCGCTGCCTTCTGCGCGGCCTGTACCACGGGGAACGGAGTTCGTGCCGTCTGGCTGCAGGGGCGGGGCGCGGGAGGTCGTCGCAGACGGCGGGCGCTTTCCGACGCTGCCTGTTGCTCGTGGTCGCAGAACGAGAGGTGATCTCTGTGCAAAGGTTCTTCTTTGCCGTGGAAGGCAGCTGGGCCCAAGTCCACCGGCGAACTCCAGGTCAGATGATTTCGTACCTCCACGCGCGGCGGCGAGACAGTCTTCGATTTGCCGCCAGACGAGCAGAAGGGCTGCGGTGACTTCTCAACTCGCACGGCCTGGGTACAGGGAGAGGGCGGGAGTGGCGATCGGAAGGAGGGACGAGGCGGAGGAGGGGGGATAATTGCACGCCGCTGGCAGACTAGCCCCCGTAGCCGGTGGAAGAGAAATGAGGAGTAGGAAAAGGAGGAGCAGGAGGATCATTAGGAGGAGAACGGAGGAGGAGGCTCGAGCCCCCCCCCTCCAGGGACCCCCAGAAGTGGCTTCCAGAGGCCAATTTGGTCTTCGGAAAAGTTTCCTAGCTCGTCCAGGAGTTGGAACATCGATGCTCCCAAAGGCTCTGCATCGCAATTCTTCTCGGCGTGGATCCCAAGAAGCGTTGGCCCCATTCCCCCATGCTTTGCTTCCGACAGCAGCCAGAAATCATATCATGCGCGCTTGTGTCACGGCGCGAGGGGGGTTGCAGCTCAGTGGTTCTTGGAGACGGCAGGGCAGTGTTTTCACCGTTTCCCACAACCTTCATCTTGCGAGTGAAGCCTCTGCGTACACGGCTCGCCAAAACGAGAAAAAAAAAGGTTCCAGGATTGGAGCTGGAGCCAGAACCAGAAAAAGATTGCGACGGAACCGCAAAAACAACGGCGCCGAAACTGTAAAACAACGGCAAAATTTTACAAGAACAAGGGCCATAAAGGCCTGGATCCCAGTTCGAAACTCGAGCCCCAGAGTGCTCGTTTCTGTATTCATTGTTTTGCCGATCGGCGCTGGCCCTCGCACCCCCCCCTTTCCCCCCCGGAATAGATCTTGGCTGCTTTGGGCGCCGCCTGTTTCGAGCAGGTAGGATCTCCCCTCATAGGACGCACGGTTCCGAAAGTCGCACTAAGCAGAGGTCCGGAGCCAGACCCCTCCCCTCCCCCCCCTTTCCGCCAAATGCCGAGACGCCGATAAAAAAAACGCTCACAGAGTTGTCCAGAGGCGCGTTCGAGCCAGAAGTTCGGGGGGGGGCCCGGCCACCGCGGAGACGAGAAGCCTCGCCCGCCCCCGCCCCAACAAAGATATGAAAAGCAAAAGAGCATACCCCAAAACCTGTCGATCCCCGTCCTCGGCCGGTGTAAGAGGGCAAAGTCTGGAAACCCGACCTCCTCCTGCTTCTCCACCTCTTCCTTTTCTTCCCCCGTTGCCCTCTCCTCCACGGCGTGTAGACTCAATCGTTTGTGGGAGTCGCGAGACCCTCGGACTGGCCAGCCGCTCACGGACGACTGGCCAGCTATGCCGAGTTCAGCCTTCAGCCTGGCCGAGTTTTTCCTAACCGAGTTCAGTTGCTGCCCATCCGGTAGAGGGCAGCAATCAGTGGACGCCCCCCTCTCCCCAAATTCAGACTTGGCACGCGCGG